TAGTGAATCAAGATCGGTTGTTATCAAAAACCAGCTACGGTTTTGGTTGGCGATTGACCACACATCTTCTGGGCTTTCTTTTCGCCAAACGGCAGCCGTTATCGAACAACATCGATGTCGCACCAAGAATCCGAAGCTCTCCGGAATCAGCGACCATATGGTGTCGCAGTTCGTCCGAGTTCTCGTTGCTGTAGATCTCCAATTTCTCAGCAAAATTCTCTCCCGGAGTGATGTTTGTGCATTTTCGATTGTGTGCGATGGTTCCTCTCACTTTGGAATTTCCTATCTCGACATTCGGATTCGTTTGAGTGTTGAAGGTGTCCTCTACAACTTTCATCTGGTTCTGGTTCCGTTTTACGATCAACACACTGCTTTGAACATTTTCAATCTCAATGTCAAGGTATTGGACGTTCTGTATTCGCAGTGGCGAGAAAAGCTGCTTTCGGTCAGTAGTGATGGCGAAAACACAATGACAGGCCGGCACGGTGGTCTTGTCACGTTGTTGGAAAAGGAAGCGGAGAATCATATTCTTCGAATTTGGTGTCCACCTCATCAGATTGATCTTGTTATCAAAGGCTGCACAAAGAGAATGGACGGTGGCGATTTCTACAAAACTGCCCATGCATTCTCGGTCTATTTACGGGCCCAGCAGAATCTCGCCACAGCTATGGGCGGCACCAAATGTCCAAAAGACACGACGCGATGGGTGGCTTTTGGTAAACTAATCAAGTGGATCCTCCAGCATCGAGTCGAACTCTTTAACCATATCGAATCCAGGAACCCTATTCAATCGCCATCAAAACCTTGGTGAATCATGGCCACTGCTGTGACTTCTATGTTCGACACCGTAGCAGTTACGTTCGCGATACTGCAGTCTCGGGACCTTGTCCTTTCACAGCAGCAGGGCGAAATCGATAACCTGATCCTCCGTCTCTGTAACAGTATGTGCATTCGTCACGAAGACATTGACAAGTCTTTCCTCGAGATCAACCAGAAAGACTTTTACAAGCTGGATGCATGGTGGATAAGCATGGAAACGATCGTTGGGCACGTCGAAGATCAGGGCTCGTGGGCGCGGAACATGTTCTCTTCATTCACTGACGATGTTAAGGCTGCCACTTTGGGTGGCATTGCCAAATTCGCCATCGAACTGATAATTGGCTTGAAAAAAGTTCAAGCCGAGCGTGATTCCAACAACAACGCGTCCAATGAAGACGCACCACCCGTGATGCCTGCCCAACTGATCCGTCTCCGCCCTCGCGATTTTAATCGAGGTGTCCTTGATCTTTTCCGGATTCGTCTCGCAAAGTTCCGGACCGCTGCCCAAATTGAGGAAGTTGAAGCGGATCACCGGGATTTGATCAAGGCGTATGAGAACGAGGAAACTGTCCGGCGTACAATTGATCGACATGACCTGAAGACGATGTTTAACGAAGCCTGGAATTCGTTGAAGGACCGATTCAAAACACTTTGGTGCTTTTGCAGCGGCTTGGCGACCGCCTTCGCCAACACGACATCGGTTGAATCCGATTTTTCGGTACTGAAGTGGGAGGTCGACTCGAATCGGACTTTTTTAACAAATTTGACTATTGAAGGCATATTCCAGAGCAAGCAACACGAACTTTTAAGTCAAATTTAAATAGATGCCACTTATAAAACAGAAATTGTGCCACTTTTAAGCAAAAAGTGGCATTGGGTGGCAATTGCCACTTTTTAGGAGGCCTGCAATAGTGTCACCTCGTGTGAGTGACATACTCCCATTAGTGACATGAAAATGAAGAACCATTAGTTTCTAACGGGGAATTTTATGCAATAATAGCACTACGTCACTTTTGTTAATAGTGTCATTAGAATTTTCAATAGTGACTGTGTTGAGCTTTAATTGCTATCATAATTGTCGAAGTTAAAAGTCTTCTATAAAAGCTTGTTGATTGATCTATACTTACATTTAAGAGTCCAACTCTCGACTGAAATGAAAGCTTCTTTCATTGCTCCATCATGCTCAACGGTTCAGTGCGCGATACAGATCTGTAGCAAGGTTTTGAACTGACGATCAAGTTCAGATATGTTCATGATCTGTATGACATGTTCACGAGCACCTTCATAGTAGACTTTCTGTCTGTATTGACTCTAGTTTAGATCTTTGCTATATATTGACTGTATCGTAAAACTATCCAAATTTCAAACATAGATATATCTGCTTCTGCTGAAACACGAGCAATTTAACATTCCTATCAAAAGGTGAACATACATATATGTATACTGACTGGATCCTGAGCAAACGAAGCTGCGTCTTGTATAATTCTAGGGTGAACATATGTTCAAAGTGCATCTTGTAATTAGTCGTTATTCTGCATGATGCATCTTTCGAGGCCATTCTATATCGGATTATTATTTCCTGCAAACCTTTGAGGCATAATAACACATATAACTCAAGTTTCTGAAGTTCAGAAAATCGAATGTGTCTCCAATTCTGTTTCTCTGTCCACTATAGACTATGGGCAAGCATTTCTGAAAAATGTACTGATCAGCGTTATTTCATCTTCTAGATGATATGGCCAAATGAGATTGAGTAGTTACAAAGTGAACTTTCTATATGCCCCAAAAACTACTGGCCATCTAAAGCCAATTGTAAGCATCATCTGAATTACTTCAGTACCAGGAACGGAAACAAATCTCAGCAATAACAAGCTGAAAGGCTAGTGTAAACACAGAAACACTTCACTGTTCACTTTCTGTGTTTACAGAAAGTGAACATTCATCCACAAAATCTCAGGTACAGAACTGTACTAATCTCTTTACTAAACATCCATACTCACCATCACTGTGGTGTTAACATCTCGATATTCACGAATATGCAATAAAAAAATTTTCATGGAGTTTCAGACGACTAATTAGCTAGCAAGCAAAGTACATTAATGGAAACTAGCACTGTTGAAAATTGATTATATCGAATCATAGAAATACAATTTACAGTGTGATTGTCGACTGTCTCAATATTCTAAATTTTTCAATGTTCTGTTGATGTATCAAAGAACGACGAGGTCTTTGGAGTTTGCAAAGCAACGTAATCTACAATTGTGTAGATAAAAACGATTCGATAGAAAAAAATTTAATCAAGTCAGTGATTGCTTGATTCGCTTGCTCTACTGACACCAAAGGCAAAATCTCACAAAAATCATCCTCATTCGAAGTACTATCATTGTGCAAGAGATTATGTTGCTCTAAATTTTAGAGTATAAAATTAATTTGACGATGCTAATATCGTCAATATAATCATCACCAGTACTATCAACAACATCAAGGTCAATAAGCTCTTCAGCAACTACTTCTATACTTGAGTCATCAAGACCCAAGGACGCTGAAAGAGAATCGTTGAGTCGAATTTCTTGAAGAGTTTTCATCAAATCATCCACGACCTGATTTGAGCTGCTACTGTATCTATCTATATCATGATTTGAAATTACGTTAGATACAAGAGGTAGAGAGTTGGCTTTAACAAAACACCTTCGAATAGTATTTTCTTCTATACTATCCGATGCAGATTTTACCCAACCAAGTACATTCCGTAGATGGGTATGATCGTGAGAATAAGAAGCACATTCACTCGCCTGCCACATCTCATACTCAGACATTAAATGATTAAGCTGAGCACGACAAAAATGAGCTTTAAAAGATTGTATGACATCTTGATCCAGAGGTTGACATTCGCTAGTAGCATTTGGAGGAAAAAAATGATACACAGATTTTCAAACCTGAAAAAAGATTCTGTTGATCCCTACGGGTCTAAAATCTTAGACGCACAAACGTGAGACGAACAGTTGTCTTGAAGTACGTAGAAGATGCAGTTTCTGTCCTTGGCAATTTTGTTGTACTTGTGAAGCAGACGCATGTAGTAAGATGTATCCTGCCAATCTTTAGCTTGATGATCATAAATAATTCCAAACGCCTTACTTATGTTAGGATTACCTTTCAAAGCACGTGGACGAGCACTCTTCGTGATCACCTGCGTGATGAACTTTTCACCTGAAGCACTAACTCCAAGCGTCACTGTAATTCGTTCTTTACTTCGCTTCACTCCACGACCATCTGAATTGACTGTGCAGTACGATCTTGATGACGTCGTGCGATGCTGTAAAGCTGACTCGTCAATGTTAATGATGCATTCGAGTGGTACGTCGCATAACATTTCACAAATTTGTTGCATACGTTTCTCCACTTCCATGACACTAATGCTATTCTGTTCTCCGCACCTCCTCTTACTCGACGTTGAAATGCGCTTCAAATACTTCTCCAGCCATCCATTAGACGCAACAAATGATTGTAGAGAAATTGTATCTGAAGATGTCAAACATTTTGCAAAGTCGAGCAAAATTTTGTCTCAAAAAAACAGAGCCTTCTTCTTCAGCATCTCACCCGTCACATTCAGCGTGGGCGCATTGATCTCAACACGAACATGCCATTGTTGCACCATTTCTGTAAGAAGTTGAACTTGTGTTGATGTAGATATCTTTTCAAACCGATCTCGATTTGATTCTAACGACCCCTGTTTGATAATTTCTCTCTCTTTGCAGATTTTTGAAACAGTTGTATGTGCCACCAAAAATGCCGATGCCGCTTTCTCATGGATGGCTCCGGGCTGATTCAGAAAATCCAAAACTTCGAGTTTTGTCTTCATGAGTGAGTAATAACGGATTAAGAGAAAAACAAATCCCACCGAACAGGAACCAGATTGCGTCGCGAGAGAAAAAAATGGCCACCTAATGCATAACAACAGTGCCAGATCGCAGCGAGAGAGAAAGAGGAGCCCACCAAACGCAAATAACGCGGGAAAAAATTTGACATACTCTTGTGAGTGACACCTCCGAATAGTGGCATAAAACCCTAGAACGGTTATGTGTCACTATCGGGAGGTTTAACTCTGTACACGGGGCCTATGTAACCTGGCAACCGCAGCTTTTTGCAACCTTGACCTTAACCAGTCTGCCAATAAACACGCCTCATGATACAAGCTGACCCTGTCCCCTAGCTCCACAATCCCAAAGAATGGCGTATGCGACAGTGTGGAGCCTCAGGATCATGATTTGAGTGTTCTTCCCACTTTGTAGCCCTGCATGTGCCAGTATCCCAACTATTGACGTACTGCATGTATCACCGTGTAGCGAAGAATCCTGAATGATAATTAGATCGGGCTTTGCTTTACAGAGCCAGGAGACATCAAGTTTTATACTGCTTCCCCTCCCAAGAGTTCCTACAGGTTTCGGTACTTCCACATACGTCTGCATTCTTGACCCAGGCTCCACCTTGATACGACACACATTGTAGAGTTCGTTCGAACATCCACTTGGCCTGAAGCATGATTCTGTAACTCCTATTAACCTTTTCCCAGCACCTAGCTCATACAAAATTTTGAGCATGTCGGCCAAGAATGTCGCTATGGACGGAATCCAAAGGAAGTGCCGAGCACACTTGTTTTCACTAGTTAAAGTAAGAAAAACCACTACAAAGATACAAAAATCCCTTCTACAGAAACATATGAGCCAAAACTACTGAAGACATTCCATCTGGAATGAGACGTGGCAAACCTGCAATTGTTACATCTTCCGCCCTGAACCAACCAACGTGCGAAAGATTTCACTCCCGCTTCGAAATAGTTTGTAATTAATATAATTAATAGAATCCGTGTGGAATATTGTGCCCATCATTGTTATCAAGTACGCAGCGTGATGATCTTAATCCTTTGGTTGCGCTGAAAGACATGTACCAAAGTGCAGTCGAATAAAGCTAGCCTGATTTCCTCATAACGAGGTCTTCCCTTTGCGACTGCAATTCTTGTCAATATTCCAAGATATTGATAAGAATGTTCACTACTTGGTCTCTTTTGATCCTGAACTCTTCCCACTTGAGAAACTTATCTTACATGATCATTCAATCAACCCCAAATGACAAGTTGCTATATTCCTTGGGTCATCATCGTGGTGATAAAATGTGTCAGTGGTATTTTCATTGTGTGCCTTATCTTGATGCAGTTCTCCCATCTGAATCTCATCATGCCTTCCACATGGGCCTAAGTGTTTTGCATTTGTGGTTAGTGAGTTGGACTCTTCAATGTGCACCTCATTTAGAGTTCATATCACCCAATAATACAAGTATGCTTCTCAACTAGCTTGAGGTTCGAATAAAACTATTAAAACAACATCATGCATTTTGAGTAAACACTTACTTGTGGGATAACTGTTTTAGAAGAGTTGAAACTTCATTGACCCTCCCATTGACTTCTAAGGGGGCTTGTCATTCTTTGGGTGTTAGATAAGCAAGTTTTACTTTACGGTGCCATCGTAGTATGTCAATGAGTTCACATTTTGACACGAGATTGGGTGAATGGCAGCACGCAGCATGACAGGAGTGGATGATATACCAGATATCATCCCGGAGAACATTCTAGCACGATCTACAGTGCTAGAAGTTATGACACTCAGGAAATGGAAGAGGGTGATAGAGAAACCCACGGGTAAGTGGATACTTGTTCCAGTTGGGCAAGGCAAGGAAAAGAACACACAGGAAAATTTGAAACGATTAGATTGAGGAAGGTGACGCGGAGAAGGGAGAAAATCACCTCGGTAATTGGATTGGACAATGCAAGGAAGAATACAGGAAACTCTGAAAAGAGATCCATCACTACTGGAAAGGAGAAAAGGCCACCTAGAATCGGAACTATCAGCAAGGCAAGAAACTGCCAGGAGCGAATGTACGGACTACGAAGCTTTCAAAATCTACCTGGAAAATACAAATGATACTGACACTGGGTGGTCTGTTCGGAATGTCAAGTGCCAAGCAACTTCAGGGACAGCAACACCGAAAGTGGATACATAGCAAAAGGCAGTGGGCAGACCCGGAAGATGCGCCTAGATGCGCATTATGCAGAAACAGCGGATTCGAGAAAATCATCATGCAAGGAGGGGCAGGAACAACCCCTCAAGGCGAACTAGCACTTGCATGCGGGCACGCATAACACGGCCTGAAATCCGGAAAAGAAGAAGCAGCTAATCTGCAAAGTGAGACTTGCGGGGAAACGCGGTCAGACACTTACGGGATGCAAACAGCTCCACGAGCAAGAAGTCACAATGTATACCACCACGTTGAACCAGGATATGCGGCGCGTATCACCTGAATCGAGAATGGTAGGCTTAGTATCGAAAACACCCCCTGGATACTTGTTCCAGCTGATGATGATCATTATGAGCATCCCTAACCGGATGCTCATCATGATCTCGGCTAAGGGCTTGCCAGCTGAATTTGTTTTTACATGGTTATATATACCCGGTTGTATAATTATACAACCGGGCTAGCCGTATGCTTACTCAATAGTATATCACATGATACATTTTTTGTTACAGCAATCCGAGGAGTAGAGAAATACAACACATTGAGAGAAATACAACACAATGAGCCAGCATCTCAAACACTTACTGTAAATGCATTTTGAGCTAAAATTTCTTATCAGTAAGTCATTTGCCTATTTACGAGGAGTTGCAGATAACCCTGCATTCACTTTTTTTTTTATATTGCTACTTTATATTTTCTTCTGTGTGAAACTTGTTCGTGTTGACAACTGCCAGCTACTGACTGCAGTTCTGGTGACGATCTCTTCATCCACTTGTGACGATATGTTCCTGCTGAACGTCTCAAGGGTTCTGGTACAATCTGTCTCTTAGTTCCAAGTTTGAAACTCACTATGTAAGCATGGAACGTTGCTGTAAAGATTCATTCTGACAGACAAGAAGCATGTCACGAGGCAGGTGCGTAAAATCGCGAGGACAAAAAAGCTTCTTCTGACATGTTCCACAGCCAAAACAATGACGTATTACTGAGACTTTTTACTTTCCAGTAAAAGCTAAGGAAGCCTTAAGAAATTTCAATCCTCCAGAAACAAATGAAGACAAGACGTCTGGAACCCTCATCGTAATTAACGGGGATGGATTGGAACGTCGATGAATTAGAACACCAATCCGTCTTCTTCAAATGCCCAACGAGAAGTATTGCTTAATAAATCAGGCTGCAAACAACTGGAGAAAATTTTGCATATATACCAGCAGAATTGACTGAAAGATTCAGAATTTCAGAGAATTGTAATATGATATTAGGTGCAAAAGCATGTCTCTGAGAGATGTCTGATTTGAGAGCAGATTACATCTTGTGACGGCTGCTTTCTTCACGATCATATGGCTGACGAACAGAGCCAGCCATCGCTACATGCACATTGTGGGGATTAGCAGCTGACAATACTGATTAGAGACCGTAGTGAGAGCGCACAAGGACGACTGATTACGTAACACTCTCAGATCCGCCTCAGATGGTACAGTCAGCACAGACATTACTATTTAGGCTGTTGCAGCGACACTGGAACGTGTTAGAAACAAATTGGCTCTCTTCGTCGTCACAGAAGTTCGGTCTTACTCCAGAATCGTGTCTTCAATCCTCTGACGATGAGTGGCATGTTTGTGGTTAGTACGCTTTCTGCACAGCAAGTGTTTCCTCGATGATATTTTCCATGATAAGTGAATGAACTCGAGGCTTCCAGCTGGTTGCTCATCAAGTAGTATTTTCAGTATTGTCTCAGCGGGTGTCATTCTTGCATCACCTATGGCGCCATGGAAAATGCGAGGTATTTTTCAACGCATCGTTTGATGGGACTGATGGACACTATCATCTACCTACTACACAACGTATATCTATATCAAACTTATACATGTGTCACTTCATCAAATCAATCTATACCTCAATAACATCTCCATCTCTCTGGAATTTTGTCATTGTCAATTCTATAAAGTCTGAAATTACATAAATGCAATAATTCTAGAATAAGCATATTTAAATTAAATTAATTATAGTTAGTTTAAGCTTTCAAATTTTATACTTAGATATCAACAAAAATACTCAGTGATTTTCTCTTTGAGCATTATATATATTGTTTTTCACAATCTTAACTTCAGTGTTGTTTCAAAATATAATGAAGTTCATTTCAGCAAATCAATCAAAATGTAATTCATAGTTAAATCTTTAAAACTTCATAAATTCAAATCATATTTTAATACGTTATATAAAGACAACATAGATAGTTATTTATTAAACCAAGAAAAAAATCAATGTATTATGTATGCAAACATCATTAACTAAACTTAAGTAGGTAAAAGACTTAACAAAAATTCATATTTTATATGATATATATTAGAATTAAAGTATCATATTCATACTTGGATCAAGATTTAATTTGTTTTTTCAGCCCAAAAATCAAATTACTAATGAATTGATATCAATTGAAATACATCACTGAATTTTAAGATTCATTTTAGATATTCAATAATTTTGCATAATTTTTGGATTGTAAAGTAATCACATTATTTCAAAAAATCAAAACATAGATTTTTTGCACACTATTATTCACAATAACTAAATAAATGTTTAAAATTATTCCTGACAATTAAAACTCTTAGGAAAATAATTGTTCAACAATCAAGATGATGTTATGTTAAAAACAAAATCTCTTTCATATAAAAAAACAAACATGATTAATTTTTTCAATTCTTGAAAATTTTATATAGTTGTCATGAAATAAAACAATAATCTGTATTGCTTTAAATTATTTAGAGCTTCACTTAATAGATTTAACTTGACATATCAATTTCAATTCATATCAAATGCTTATAAAGAATACATGTAGTTAAAAAAAATTTAAAATTTTCTTTAAAAATATTTTATAATATTATTCTTATTTTTTGGTTCGATAACATATTTTTACTGAAATAATGTTAAAAACATTAAAAACTCTTTTGTTGCAATATTTTGTTGACATCTTATATTTTTGAAGTGATAATTATTCAAAATTTGAAATATTATGAAATCTGACTTCAAAATTTGTGGTTTATTCCTTATAATTCATATAGTTTTTTTAAAGTATGTCTCGACGTGATATTATTATAGTGATAATTTGTTTTTCTTTTTTTTAAGTCAACTATTTCAAATAATCTTCACAAGTTGATCAAGCACATTCCAAAATTTTAGATTAATTGTTATATCTAGTAAATATTGTTTAGTCTAAGAATCTACACATCTATATTGAATAAGTAACTTGAATAGAAGCTTTATATTATTGATTTGATAACATAAAATTATTTTAATAAAATTAATTAAAAATCATCAAATCAATAATACAATGCCTTTTTAGTTTTTTATAGAATAAATTCTAATATGAGAAAATTTACATTTAATAATAATCAAACAGAATTGGTAATTTTTTTAATGTAAAATTTAGTTTCATTTGATATTTAAAAAATTGAAATACCTTAATTACAAGATAATTATCTTAGCACTGAATAAAATATGTAATCTATTCAAAAAAAAATTTATCTCGAAAGTAATATAATGAAAATTTCTCGTGAAAGCATACATATAAATGCTTAAAAACATGAGATTGAAAACATAAAAAATCGTGCTAGATGTTGTCTCTTATGAACTGAATAATTGAACCTTAATGTTCCTAATTTTACCTAATTTTAACTTTACGGTTGTCCGTGGAATTAAGAACATAAGAACATAGCATATATAGCCACAAAGTAGAGAACTGAAAATATCCATCTCCCGTGCACAGAGTATAAACAATCTGGTAAACATCAAGAACACCGCACGAACACCTCATACTTCACTTCCCTCTGGTCTGTTCCGCAGTGTCTCAATTGTCTCTGGTTGTGCAAACCAGGAACAAAAGTATGGATTGTAAGTCGGCAAAAAACAACGAATCCAAGGATGCGGAGATGAAAGTCAAGATGGTCAAATTGATGGCTTCAGACGGAAATTTTTTTGTGAAAGCATTTAATATTTAATTTAATATATTTATGTATATATTTGTCTACAATGTAATAAAACATGTTGCATCTTCTGAAATTAAAGTTTTAAAATCTTATTAGTTGCAGTAAATGTTAGATTGAATTGGAATGTGAAACATGTTATATGTGTGGTACACACCATGTTTAATAATAAAAAAGACTGCAAATTATTAAAAGAGGCTTTTTACAAAATAAAATTTATGCAATTTTTTTACGATGAAAAAAATATTGCGATTTTGTGAAAAAATGCAATAAACAAGTACATTCATCTTGAACAAATCTTTATCATATGGTATTGGAGATCAAGTGTAAGGCAAAAAATATAAAATAATAAAACAATGCAAAATTATACAAATATATCAAAATATTGAACAAGATATCAAACAATATATATTAAAAAATACATTACTATACATTTATTTTAACGTGAAACCTTGAAGTATATAATAGATATTTAATGAAAATTAATGACATATTAAATATAAATACAATTTTTTTTCATGGAATATTTGAACATATCTACTTTTGAAATGAATTAGTATAATACATTGCAAGAAATTCAGAAAAAAAAATAATAAATACTTGAGGTATATTATACATATTTAATGTAGATTAATTTAATTTTTAAGAGAAATATACACCGAATTATTAATAAAATTTAACACTTCAAAAATTTTAAAATTTCAAATTTCAAATCTCAAATTATAAAATTAAAAATTAGATATTAAAAAATATTATATTCGCGAGATAAAAATATAAGATATATAAAAATTTTATATATATAATTTAGCGAGCGAGCTCTCGCTTTTAGATATTACAATAAAAATATAAAAATATTCATTTAATTTTAAAATGAGTTAATTAGTTAAAATAAAAAATAAAAAAATAAAGATGTTTGAAAAAAAAATCAACAACGTAAATTTTCAAAAAGTGTAGATATTTAATAATGTATTTAGGACAGAAAAAATTTTGAATTATTTAATGAACAAAAAATTGAGAAATGTTATATATAAATTAATAATGAAATATTCATGAAAAAATATATAGAAACCTCCATTGGATATTCAACACATCAAAATTTAAGAATATTAGTTTAAGTCCATAAAGTTAAAATTCATAAAAAAACTATCAATATGTATAAAAAAATATTTGATAATCTTTTCAAGAAGAAAAAATGAATTTATTTTATTATTTTTAAAAACTTTTATATACATAATAGCATTTAAAAAAAAATCAACAACCATAATTTTATAAATAAATGAATAAATAAATATCTAACAATCTTTTTTTGAAGAAAAAAATTTATTTAAAATTTATTAATTTAGTGTAAATATATAAAATATGTAATTCTTTTTAATGTATAATTATAAATTATTTATAAAAATAAAAAATTAAATTTTTTTCCTGGAATATTAAAATACATCAAAATTATCTCAAGAAATAAAAACAATTTTTTTGAAAGTTTTGAAAATACTTATAAATAACGTTAGTTTAAAAAACCAAAATGAAATAATTTCAAATATTTTTTAAAAATTGAAAATATAATTGAAAAATATATTTGACAATCTATTTTTTGAATGAAAATTATAAGATAATATTATTTTAATTAAATAAGTTTAATGAATAATCTACATGTGATGGAAAGATTTGCATCTTAATGTATTATAACTATATTAAAATAACTTCAATTGAGTGACTTTGGTTTGCAGAAATTGCACATGCAGAACATTCATGGTGGATTATTAGAATAATTTTTTGTGTCTATTGTGAATATTTTATAAATCTATTTGATAGAATATATTTTATGAATTTTTTTATAAAATATTCTAATACATAAAAATTATGTAACATGGATAAGAAAATATTGCAAAAGATAGAACAATCCAACATATAACTAAGTAAAACAACATTATTCACAAAGTCATGCACTCATCATCTTCAACTAGAGTTTCATTTGCTTAGTATCAAAAGCGTATAACTCCTAATGAAAAAACCTGAATTAAAAAAACATTAAAAAAAATAAATTTTATTTTAAAAAGTAAAAATCAATTTTGAATTAACTTTTTAAATTAAAAAAAATAAATTTAAAATATAATTTTTAAAAATGTTTTTTTGGTAATTATAAAATTTTATTTTTTTACTTTTTCATAAATAAAATTATTTATTTTTACATTTAAATAAATATTAAAATTTTATCAAGATTTTATTTAGTGTACTCAACTTTTTTATTTCCAAATTTTTGTGTTTGAATATTTTATAAAAAAATATATGTTTGTGTAAAAAATTATTTTATTAATATGCATTAAATGTATATGATATACCTCAAGTTTTCATAGCACACAAGAAGACATTTAATTTTTTTCATATGTAGAGATTTTCAATTATCTTTATAAATATAATTGTAATTTTTTCAGATTTTGGAAATTTTATTTCTTGTTTTCTTCAAAAATTGACATTATTTTATTTTTAACTTTTTTATTTCTTGAGCTAATGCTTAAAAAAATTTGATGTGTTTAAATATTCAAGAATAATTTTTATAAATTTTTTCCTTATATTTTTTTAAATCTAAAATATATTATATATCTCAAATAATTACGATAAAAAATATTTTTATTAAAAAAATTTTCAAGTAATTATTTTTAATTATTTTTGGAAATTATGATTATTAATTCTTTTGAAAAAAATATTTATATACATATAACTATAAATTTTACAATCGACCGATTAATATATCAATATAGACATATAAAAAAAATTTCACAACATTGTGTTCAAATGCTACATATGTTCAATGATGAATGTATTGATCAATGCACACATTATTTTAATTATATAATATATTGTAACAATAATAAATAATAAATATATATAAAAAATTTATTTATAATTGTTTTTTAAAATTATAATTATGAATTTTGTTTTGAATAGCTTGTTATTCATATGTATAGAAGCATGTTTTCGTGTTTAAATCTGTCTATTAAAAATATCATTTAAAAAAAATTATAATTTAAAAAAATTTAAAATTTTCTAAAATATAATTAATACATAAATTAATGATACAATAAAGAATTATGTACATAATAAAAAATGAAATGATTTTTGGAATTAATAATAAGAACTTTGAGATAGAACATAGCAGCAGACTTTATACTATGATTCGCTATTGATGTGTCGTCTCCAATATGATCAAACCAATAGACAGATGTATATGATATTGTGTCAGATAGGATATTGTGTGATTTTCCTCTCATGAAATGGAAGACTTCCTTATGCACAATATATATACCCAGCACATATACATCCTTGTACCTACTAAACAAAATCTGGGGGTTCATAGTATAACTTAATGACTCTTTAACTTCAGACATGATGAAACTCTAGCACATTATAAGTAGGAATATAGTAGCCAACGAGATTAAATATAAAACAGACGCGGTCAGTTTCTGGATCTGAGTAGGAATATAGGAATGACCCTCTGCCTGTTGCAAAATCTAATTCTACCAACAGATATTCAAATACACGCAGCCGACTCACTCCCAGGTCATCCTTCCATCTTCAATAGTAGTAGGACAGTTTTGATGAAGCAATCCACAATTGATTTTCCTGCGCCAATTTTCCTGGACATGACTTCCATTTCTGAATCTTGCTCTGAGGCTGGCCAATCACGATCGCTTCTTTGAAAAATCCTTCTTGATTCGATGCTGAACCATTTGAATGAACAGAATACTTGCCATGCAGTTCGGGCTGCGAGAAATGTTTTTATTTTTTGCAGTCACTTGGCAGTTTTACACGGTAATTTGGAAGGACCCGAGTCATTATTAGCTGCATCGCCTTATCTGAGAACTAGATTCAAGCTTGTGGACCTTTCTTCAGTCAGTAGTCCACGAAGCCTTCCACTTTCCACTTGTTATCTATTTGGCCCCGGAAAGACAGTTTGAATTCACTGATAGATCAATCATTCAAAGACGGCAGAAAGGCTTCGACTGAACCAGCGAGGAATGGATACCTACTCCAATTGAAGCAGTCTTCATAGTGCCCGGAATGGTTGAAGTAGGAATGGTCAGTATCCGAGCTGAAGCCCGGGACCATGAAGAAGATTCAGGAGAACATCGGCAACCTGTTCATGATTTTCGATTTTGACGGCACGTTGGCTGCCACCAACCGGTTGGTGGCAGCCGGTGCTGGGCTTGGCGAGAAGGACGGGGCAGCTGATGAGCAGCTTGGTCAACGTGCTGGAGGGTGCACTGGGGAGGATCAATATTCCCTGCCAACGTGTTCGAGCTGGGCCTTCGGGTGGACCACATGGACGGGACAGTTTCCATTTCGCAGGCGCCAGATTTCTCGAGTCAGCAGGTCAATCACGCAGTATCTGAGTGCGAGGCGGGACCAAAATCTATCGCTGGTTATGAAGAATGGTGGTTTTGCAGTGAAGTTTACCGATGAGGACGGTCGGCTGGCCAAAGGTGTGGAGATAGACGGTGTGATTGCTTTCGTGCAGAGTTTGGTTGTGGGCAGCAAAGAGCTCATCAGCGTCCAGACGGATGGTTTCATAGATGTTTGCAGTGGTTCCCTTATCAAAGGAACTGCGATCCAGTGCCAGCTCAAGGAGCGCCCGTTCAGGGGCAGCTTTTGCATTGTGGCAGGAGACAGTGGCACTGACGAGGCCATGTTTCCGTTGTGCCAATCTCCATCAGAGTGGGGATGTCAGGCCAGAGCTGTGCCACTGATAGGCTTTCTACCCACAAGGAGACGTTAGAGGTGATCCAGTGGATTGTGTACCTGCGATGGACTTCAATGAGGCCCGCAACAGCAATGAATTTCTTCATTTATAGAGAAATTCATAAATAAACATGGACTTTGCGTGCGCATGGACTTCAACACAAAATCCCGGAAGCTCTCGGGCCTCCCCTCCTATACTCAAGGGCCGAAGCCTGGATAGATTAGGAGAGATCACGGCATCCGTCTTACGCGACCTGGGCCAAAGTCATCACGCGGTGACTGCGCTCTTCCGGCAAAGCCACGAGTCAGTTTTTTCCCGATGGAATTGTTTCTCTTCCACGCCTTGTGCGCTTGCAGCGAGCGGAACACGACTGCTGGACATGGTGAGAGAGCTGCTGGACATGGTGAGAAATTGCAAGCAGAAGCTTCTGTTGAAGGCTTTTCAGCTGGGTCGAGCCGATGAGGTCCAACGCATGTTCGATCTGGAGGACGGCAGAGGGAGGACTCCCCTCCACGTCGCCGTGGATCACGACGCGATCAAGGAATTCTTCAGCCTTAAAGACTACTTTAAAGAAGCGTTATGGAGAGACATTGTGAACAGACGAGACGCAGGAGGGAGGACGCCATTGCACAGAACTGCCTCCTCGATAGAACCCCCGAAAGACTTGACGCTTTTGGTAAGAGACGATCAGACGGACAAGGCGCTCACCTTCGGGTGGAAGGATCTGGGCTACCTCAAGTTCATCGTCGACGTCACGAAGGTCTCCGTGAGAAATGGCTTCAGCAAGGCGACGTTCGAGGGAGCCTTGGCCAGCCACATCGCGTGCTACAATCCACGCGGTGCGAAGATCATGAAGGAATGGTCAGTTTCTTCAGGAACTCGTTCGCTAAATGAAGCTCCGTGTGAAACTTTCAGATACAAATCGCGAAATAATTTTGTCTCCATGCACCAAGTGAAGATGGCAGAGGGGGAAAAAGTGTAGAGGATATACATTGCATCAGGTGTGATACTTGGAGCATCCAAAGATCCTACTATGAGGACATATCTTTGCAGAGTCTCCTGTAATGTATGTGTCTTTTAAGCAAGAGATCAAAAGTGATCATTTGCACCATGCATCATGTCTGGAAATCTTTCGTGTTTCAGTAGAGGGGCTTTGTGCATATTTAAAACAGTATATACAATATTTACAGAACTTTGTAAGACCCATCTACCGATCCGAGAAGAAACTTTTCTGAAAGCTGTTTATTTTACCAGTTCGAAGACTTGCAGTACGTCTAATTACAGAACTTTACCTCATGCAGGATATTTTGATGTGCCGTTCAGAGACCAGCTCACATTGGCGAAGCTCTCTTCTCTGACGCTGGTCTTTCACGACCCTGAGCTCCTGAACAGATTGGTGTCTGTAACAGAGGCAAGGCTGAAAAAAAACACATGGCTAATGACTGCCTGCTCTCCTCAATGGATGACGGCGATATTAAAATCATGGACGCTGTCAACATCAACGACAGTGAGACAGCAGCACGCCCACGGCAATGACGCGTTCGAGCGGATCGAGAGCCATTTGACGACCAAGACTGGGCTCAGAGCAGAGAAAGGGCCGTGGAGGTCTAAACTCTCCTCAAATGCATCATCAATCTACAGAACCATTATCCCTGAGTTGACCCGTCGAGGCACGTTGAAGGGATTTCCAATCTGGTGTCCAGACACGTTGTCTCACCCCAACAGCATGAAGATTCTGGACTGCATGAACCAGGTCTAGAGAAGCTTAGGACGTCATGGAAGAGCGTGAAGCAGTAAGATAGTATAGTCCTGAAGTTAGAATATTATACTGTCCTCTTGCAGAATCAAGTGGACCAGTGCAAGTCGGCAAGGGATAATCAAATTACGGATATTGTAATGTGGAGCTAACCGGTCCGACGAACACACGCATCCCAACATGAAGGTCGGTAGCAAATTCCACCGGTTGTCGAGTGATGGAAATAAGATTCAGTCCCTGTACTGCTGTGAGTGCACCGACCGAGCAGACAGCCAGGTGAAGCACTTTTAAGCGAACCATCAAGCGAAATTGGCCGAAACAGATATGTTTAAGCACAAACTTCGAATTTAGAACATTTCAACTCCTAACTTCTCAAAGAAGAAGTCAAGTGCTTCATGTTATCTTTCTAATAGGCATCAAACACAACATCAAACAACTATATTCTTGCATTCCGAGACGTGGTAAATCTCGTGCATCCCAAAAAGGAAAATTCATCGTGACCCAGTCTACAACAATCCAGGTCACAGTCCAGTTTTCTACGAAGAATCTCATGAAAAGATCACAGAAAAACATCCTGGGTATTCGGTTCACCGTTTAGCTGCATAGTTGGTGCATATTGTTCATGGGGTGCAAGCCAACCGCGACTAACGGCAGTCTTCGGAGAAGGACTGCAAACAGTTGCATCCCAACCCAAAACATGACAAACAGTTCGTGCGAAGCCGCGATGTTCGGGCAGCTTTTTCGTCCTCAATATTTTCTTCGCATGTTGTACCATGCTTGCTACGTCAGGGAATCTCTTCGTCTTCCTGCGCGAGATTAACAACTATAAGAACAGCAGTGACAGGCATCTCCGGCTCCGATATTTGAAATTTCTTTGCAAAAGAATCGAAAGAGATAATTAGACCAGACCCTCCCTTCTGGTGTAAGTTGAGGTCTCAAAAGTAGACAGGAATAAAACATCAATAGGATAAAACAACACCTGCTTAAACCTAGACCAGACGCCTAGAACACATAAGACGCAGTAAGAGTAACTTACTTCGCTCCAATTTCGGCATAGACGAGACACTCAAAACTCCCTGAATTTACATTGGCCTCGTACAACTTCCTCAAGTCGGCATCTTGGTCGAACTTGGAAACTATAAGTAAGTCATCTTTCGGCATAACATGTCTTGTGTACTTCTGATGGTGGCAAAATCAAGATTTGTTGAAAATATTCATCGGTACATCTGATGGACCTCTGTGTCAACCTTTCACAGAAGGTTTCTAGATCTGATAACACGGCATCATTGTAGGAAGTGTGCTTAGTAGTAGTAATGCTTACAATTAGTTTCTCATCCATTCTTAGATTGAAGGAGCTCATAATTCATCATGATGAGACTTGCAACAAGGCATTCTTAAAAGTTTTTTCCTCAAAGTGGAGTTTTATAGTTTAGCCAAAATCTGAACTTCTTCAGAAACATGTATGTGCGATCGACATGATTGCATCCATTATAAAAGACTTGTACAAGTGAAAACTCTGAAGGAAGATTTTGCAGAGGATCATATTGCATGAGTGTCTAAACATATGCTTGTCATTTGCATCATGACATTCTAACCTCTTCAATTTCCCGACAAAATCCCAGTTCTAATACCTTCTTTCATGCACTCTTCGCACACCCATGCATGCCCACCTGATTCTACTCCCTCGTATTTCACCTGATACAACTTGAAGATTTTCGCATAGTTCATATCCCCAAGAATTTTCTGAATCCTCAGCCATGCTTCTTTGAGCTCCATGCTTTTCCCACCTTTTAAAACTGCACTACGATCACTATCGCTGATGCCATCTAGTTTAACAATATCAGATTTTAAATCTGCCCAGTCCGGAATCGCTTGGCCCAACCCGAACTTCATACTCAGTCCAGCCTTTGCAGTATAATACAAGACTTTGTATGAAATTTCAATGGTTTTGTGAATCCACGCTCGATTATTTACATCCACGCGTATCTTCAAACCTTCTTGATCTTTGACCATGTGAAGCTCAGTCGCCGACTCACACATCAAGTGTAATCTAACGGTTTTTGCGCCATGCATAAATGCACTCAACCTATAGAAAATGTTAACATCATCTGTAATGTAAGGTCGCTTGGGGACTCTGGTCTGCTGAAACGATTGAGTATACCCAACAATCCTGTCTACTTTAGACACGAAATCACTCAGAGTTGACTGCAGTTCTTGTTGCAGAGAGAGTATCTGTTCCATCTTCGTCTCCAATCTCTCCAGACCTAATCTTAACCTTTCATCAAAATCATCAACCTTTTTTTCGATCCTTCCCAAAGCATGTCGGATTTCACCCAAAGCATGTCGAATTTCACGATATTCATTTGTGCTTGCCCAACTGGATGAAGGTCGATTGGAATCTTTCAAAGGAACCATGTTCTCATCTTCAGGGTACGAATGAATCAAATCTTTGTTCACTTCGTTTAAACCTTGCTGCAATGATCCCAATTGTTGGCTAAGGTCTTGCTGAAATGACTCCAATGGTTGCATTTGCTTCTGTCTGGTCTCATTCACAATCTCTTCCACATCGCTCTCCCACAGCAAGTCCCTTGCTCTTTCTTGTATAACCTCTGTTTTGTGCTCTTCAATCCGGGGCCAAGTGTGCTCATAGCTGAACAACTCTTCCTCCTTCACCAAGTGAAACCTATCCAGCTGATTACCCTCAAGTTTGTCATTGATGTAACGAATGAAATTGGATTTGAGCTCCTCGATCAGAATGGCTCCTCTGAGATGAATCGGAATCAACATCTTCACGCAACGTGTTTGGATCAGACCGAGCGCTAACGCCACCCCGGGACAGCCTTTTGGGGATGCGCAAAATGATATCAACTACTGGACGATATGCTTCATCACGTATTTAATAGCCACCTCCCTTGATTTATAATCCGAGCATAACATCAGAACATCCACGTAATTGCGGGACGTTCCTTGCTCGAGATATATCTCGTGCCCATCAAGGTAGAGTAGCATAAAATGTCGAGAGCAGGTCACAGTCTCCTTGGAAACATGCATCTCGGATATCAACTTGCGTCTCATGAACATCTACAATGATACAAAATTTGGTAAATGTTAAGCTGCGCATTCCAAAAATTAAATTCTACTAATGAAAAGAGAACACTCCATTCATCAAACACAAGTTACAATCAGAACTCAACGCATTAAATTTTCTCACAATATCTTTAAAATCACCTCGAAGCATGGAAAAAAAGCAGCGGTTAGTGACATTGTTTTTCCATCTTGGCATTGAATTCGGATGCCGACAAACTTTGAAGTCCCAGTCCTACGTTCCCAATCCTCCGACTTCACGTCCGCCAGTTCTTGAGGCTTCTGTCCTTCAGTGCTTGCATGCTCAGGTATGAAGGAGGGAATGAAATACTCAGAAGTATCTTCCACCTTGAAACACAAATCTAAATTGATAAGGATGTTCTCAATCACGTATCTGTCCACATCTTTCTGTCCATGCGGTTGCTTTCCCAGAAACTCCTCTATCAATTGAACAAAGACACTCTCGCTCACGAATCCGTTCTTGCTAGAGTATGAGGCACGCGACTTACTTTTGTGCTCTCGAGCATGAAATTTTTGACCCAAAGCTACCAGCTCACCCAATAATGTATTAGTGAGCCAGTTTGGATCTACAATGATGTAACTAAGGGTTGGAATATAAACTATGGATCCAACGTCATTCAAATAAGATACTATCGAATTTAATATCCTTGAATGATCATTGGCAAAAGTTGAAGAGGATGAAATGAACTGTGTCAAAAAGGGGTCACAGAATTCATTAAACTTTTGACGTAACCAAACAGGGCAACTTCTGTTCTCCTTGATGTTTGTAACCAAGAGGGAAGAGAGTCGTGAACACAATTGGGGAACCCGTGGGGATTTTTCACTCAACAACTTATCAAAAATCTCAAAAATATAATCTTTGAGATCTTTAACTTGCTTCTTTTTTCTCGCATCCACATGAAAACACTCTTGAATTGGATGAAGATCCACAAATTTTGCAAATCTTTGGTTGACATCTTTCACTATTGAGTGAGCCCAAGTCAAAGAGCTGGATTCTGTTTTGTCCTTGTGTGAAATCACAACAAGAACTTGCGGACGATTATGTCCTGTGACTCTAGAGCTGGATGTGATAAAACTCATCCATTCTTCCAACTCTGTCCGAAAACAAGAGTCTTTTTTCTTAGAAGATGTTTTTTCACAAAAAGAGCTATACACAAATAAAAAAACACAAAAATTGCTGGATTGAGGGAAGAGAACACTTTGAAGGGTACGAAAAATCTCTTGTCCCGCAAGATCCCAGATTGAAATTTGACTTTTGTCATCGTTTTGCAAGAACTCCACTTCGATACCTTCAGTTCGAAACAACTCCTTCAATTTGTTCCCAAGCCAACTTTTGCCTTCAACTATCCTCATCAAGGTTTGACGCAATTTAGTCTTGCCTGCGGATTGAGTACAAATAACCACAACAAATGTAGCTTGAGATATTTTTACAGATTACTTGATAACTCTTATTTCTAATGGATAAAGAGTATTGGTAAAAATTGTGAATATCACATCAAAATTTGAAATTATTAAATAGATATTATTTATAATCTCAACTAATTAGGATGTTAAAATAATTTTTCTTCAATTCTTTGAAACTTAATAAACTATTACAAATATGTGTAGAGAGAAAATTGAACTTTTTTTACTATAGTATAAATTTTGGAGAAGTAAAACCTTAGATTGCTACTTTGAAAAACCGAGAACTTACAGAGCACCTTACCTGCTCTAGGAGAGCCGCATAGAAAGAGTCGACCAGCCTTTGCATCTCCAAATTTTAGTTTGGCCTCTGTGAACACGGACATGTAGGCGGCCCGCATCTTGTTCTGCTTGAGTGCCTCTTGAATCAGCGCCGCCTTTCCGTCTGTAGCCCATGAGGTTTCTGAGACATTTATTTCCTGGAGACTCAAGTTCACTTGGAGTAGCCCCATCATGTCCCTGAAGGTCTCTTCGTCCAGCCTGGTCTCATGCAAATCCAAGTGAGTGAGACTTGTGTTCACTCGCAGGCACAAAAGCAAGTCTTTCCATACTCCCTTCCAAACATCTTGGGTTAGAGCTCTTAATCCGAGTCTCTTCAGGACGCAAGTTTCTCCAGTTTTTCCATTCATCGACAGTATACTTTCCGGTCTATCTTGGTAAGTACGGCGATGAGATATACGCAGAGATTTCAGAGATGTGATTTCCCCGCGCAGTACCCTACCTAATAGGTTTAATGATAACATCGATTGTTGGGGATCCAAAGTTTCTTCAAGATGAAGCTCCACTATGGGGTCCTTGACATCGGAGCTAGCAGAACGAACAAGAGCTTCTATTGACTTCCAGTCTTCATCACACATCAAAAAAATCA